GCCCACGCGCTTGTAGTGTGCGGCGCGCACAGCGGAAGAAGCAGACGGGTTGGGTCTCTGGCTCTCGGATGTCCACCAGCTGTCGAGCCAGCCAGCGAAGACCCCTCTGGGTCCCGTTCCGGCGCAGCGAGGTCTCCAGGCCACCGCGCTCCGGCCGCGGACAGTTAGTGCTGCAGTTGAGCCACAGCGAGCCCCCGCGCTCCACGAGCGCCACACGGGGCTGAAGGTCCGCCCAGAAAGGTTCTAGCGCGACCGCTGCCCGGGAAAACGCGGGCTCAGCCTGGGGACCCCCTCTCTGAAATCTTAGCGCCCCTATATCCCAAATCAGGGGTCTCAGCAAGGACGAGGAGAGGCCACCGCCAAGAAACAGCACGGGAGTCCCGCATCCCACTCAAGCTTCGAGGCTGGCACACTCTGAGAGGGGCATTTCTGGAAGCCTTGCTTTCTAAGGCACAGATGGGGAAACTCGGTGCGGGGAGAATGGGGTCTCGGATGCACACGTCAGTAGTGGGGAGGAGGAGACTCCAGTTGGGGGGGATGGGGAACCAACTGAGTCTCAAGACTCTGGTAGATCGTCAGGAAATGGGGGTGGGGAGACACACTGAGGCTGGGGGCGAAAGCGTGGAGACTGAGTCAAAGGCTTAAACGAGACTGTCCCCAAACTTGAGTAACTTGGACAGAAAGCCTCAAGGCTGGACTCCTGGAAAGAATCGCGGGAAAAGCCCCAGAAAAGCTGGTTGCCAGGGCTACAAGTGGAGGGGTTACAGAGCCTCTGAGTCATAACAGTTGAGGAGATGGGGGTCTTTGAGGATCACGAATAGGGATGACGCCAGTCCGTGAACCATAGGGCACGACAGAGCAGGAAAGACTAGGAAAGTCACAGCGTCTCCTGAGCGGGGTTAGGTGCAAAACCCCGAATCCAGAAAAGGTGCTGGGTTCGGATCTGAAAGATCGAGGTGTCTTGGGGTGGAGGAGGGATGGGGAGAAGCCCCGGGTTCCAGTTTTGGCAGAAGCGTGGGAAGCATGAAGAGGGCGGAGCCTGGAGGGACACCCGGCCGCCCTCTCGGGTCCTTCAAAACCGCCCCCGCCTTGTGCACCTGGCTCCGCGGGCCGGCTCTTCTTACCTGAGATGCCGAGGATCCCCAGGCCCAGGGCCGCCCAGAGGCCGAGAAGCGCTTGGCGCAGCCCTGGCGAAGGCCCCGGCATCGCCGCCGCTGCCGGGGAGGGGAGAACGCAGGAGGCAAGGGGAGAGCGAGTGATGGAGAGCCGGGCTGGGAGGACGGCGCAGCGCAGCGGGTGGAGTGTGGGGGTGGCAGAGTTGCGCCCAGGGATTGGTTTAAACGTTGGTAACTTGGTTTCCAAGGAGGGGGCGGTGGCAGAGGCGGTGATGGGGGGCGAACTGCCGGGAGGCGAGCACGCACCGGGCTGCTCTCTGCTTAGAGCACACTAGCTGACCAGGCAGGAGCGGTCCCCCGTAGGAGGAGGGGGTCTGCGTGGAGCGATCTGATGGTCTAAAGCCTTTTGGGGGCGACCACACTCTCCCGCGTCATCTGTGGCGAAGGAGGGGAGGAATGCTATAAGGCCCTGCCCAAACTCCACCATCCTAGGTATAGATTCTGGGATAACGCGCTAGGGTTCCAGGCCACGCCCATCTCCGGCCTCCCACCAGCGCCCCTTGGAGCAGGTGTACGGTGGGTTGCTTGTAAAATCTTGGGAAGTCGTAGTATGCCGAAAAGGTGGTTTTAAGAGGAGGGTGTGGGGAAGCCTCCCTTAACTGAGGCTTAACTTTGACCTCCAGCAGATTGAGGATGGGAGCCTAGGACCTCCTCCGTGCACGCGGCGACCGAGGCGGGGGGGGGGGGATCAAGTGCCCGCGAATCGCAGACACGTGTGCGTGTGCGCCGCGTTCGCGGGCGTCTAAATTAGAGTCGGTTTCGGCACACGATCTGTATTTACCCAGCGTGCAGCGGGAATGTGTCTACAATGCTGTTGTGAACCGAGTCTCTCAGGAGAGCATCTGCACATTCCTCGCCATGGGCGCCGCAGCCCCTGCGGGATAACCAGTGCTCGAGATTCTGCAATCCAAGCTGAACCAGAAGATCAACTGGGGGCACTTGTGACTTCGCATCTGTCTTTAAGCTTTGACACCCCTCCCCTGATGCATGCCTGGCTCGGTGACAACAAACGCGTTGCCAGGATGGAAGTCTGTGACAGTCCATGTGGCCTGAGCAATCATCTCAAACTTGTTGCTATGCTAGATTTCCAATCTGGGTATCTGCTTCTTCTACTCGGTGCAGGAGACCCCGCCCAATCTTGTTTCCCTTCCCCCTTCATTAATGGTAACCCGGGGGACCAGGTCTAGCTCCACCCACTGGCCTCAGTTACGCGCACGATCTGCAAGGGAGAAGAAGAGAAGGGAAACTTAGCTTCCAATCAGAGCTATGGTGTGTATCCGCAGAGCCAATCAGAAAAGGCCATATTAAGAGCCTGTCCTCCCTCCCCAACTCAGGGCCTGGAGGAGAGGCCAGTTTAGCCCTTCTGCCCTGCAGGGATAATTCCAGCTAGACTGAACGCGGAGAGGAACTCGGGTTCTGGGACCTCAAGCCGGTCTTGAAGGAAAAACTTCAGGTGCCTTGAGACACACGAGATGTTGTTTCCTCCGGTACCGGGTATTGAAACCAAGGCTAGGCTACAAATCTTCAGCCCATAAACAAGTAGTTCGGAGACGTCAGGGTTCCCTAAAAATGAAACCACTTCCTCCAAGAACCGTAGGACAAAGACTGAGGAAGAAGGCTTTATTGATTCAACAACAAGAGTATCTGAATTAGTTGCTCTGGGCTTCTTTTTCCTCCCTCTTGTCAGGCATCGAACACCCGTCTATAACTGAGTCTGAACGGCCAGGTACTTGCGCACGTAGACAGTCCCCACAGCCAGGAGGATCCCCACCAGGGCTGCGATGGAGGCAGAAGCCAAGGCTTTGGAGACTGGACTCAAAGCTGGGAGCGGGAGTGAAAATCAGGAACGAGGAGGTCTGAGGACCTCCAAGCGTGGATGGAGCCCACCCCTGTTCTGCTGGCCCTCTTGGGGTGGCAACATCCCCTTCCCAGCACCAATTCCCCGAGTTTGCAGGGTGCCTCACCGAGGACCTTCAACATAACAGGTGCAGAACTGCTGCGCACGACTAGCCCGTCGAGATTGAGGCGTGCATGGCAGGTGAGTGGTTGCCAGAGGTCGTTGGGTCCTGCCCGCATCACGTAGGTCAAAGTGACATTAGCCAGATCTGAACCGGTGAAGCGCTCCAGACTCTCAAAATAAACCACCCGGCCACCTCTTCTCAGGCTCACCACCAAGAACCCCACGGGGAATACGTGTATCACATAGCAGCGTAGAGTGTACTTGTGGCCCATTAGGACCGGAGGCTCCATGATCACGCTTCTCGGCCGTTCTAAGGCAAGAAGGGTAAGACCCGCAGACACCTCCTAAAGTAACTGCCAACTATCCCATTCCTCCACCCTTCTCCCCTCTCCCCACCCCGGCCTGAACCCCGGTATCCCTCACTGTAAGCGGTGATCATGGCGGTGGCCTCCCGCGTTTCTCCAGCGCAAGTGACGACGCAACGCACCTTGGAATTCCAGGCCCTCACATCCAGCAGCTGGTAAGATACCCAACCCGATCCACTGAGTGTCTTTCCCTGCCGCAGCTGCGTGCGCAGGCTGGAACGCACCGGCAGGGGGCAGCTGTGGCTGCAGTTAAGCCACACCGAGCCCCCGGGAGGCACAGCCTCCAGCTCCGGGCTTAAACGCACCAAGAAAGGCGTTGAGGTCCCGGAAGGCGTGGGAGGGCTTTGCCTCCACTCATGGTGGGAGCTCACACCCTTCGGATAGGCGGCCACCAGCAAAAGCGACAGGAGCAGGACAGACTCCATGGCACAAAACCCGCGGTGCCGTTTGGGAGACCAGGGTAGTTTCAGCTGGCCCTGGAGATAAGACTCCCTGGCCACGCCCCAGAGTGGGCCCAGCAGCGCTGTTGAAGACACCGCCTCCCAAATGACACATCAGACCCCACAGTTAACCAGAAGTCATTGCACTTTTCTGAACTGGGGCTTTAGTTTTCACTTAAGCTCCAAAAGGTCATTAAATAGATTTCAGTGGCTGTTGTAATGGCTCAGGCCTTTAATCCCAGCATTCAGGAGATAGGCAGGCAGATCTCTGTGAATTAGAGGCCAGCACGTTCCACATAGCAGGTTCCAGGACATTCAGGCTACACAGAGACACTGTCTCAAAAAACAAAGACGAAGAAAAAAACAAACAAAAAGCTAGTTTGCAGACTCAGGGTTAGGGTAACAGGTAACTTTGAAGAAGTGGGGAGTCAGGAATACTTAGAGGGAGCTCTAGGTAACTGAAGTGACACCTGTCCTCAAACTCACAAGTGGCTAAGACCAACATAAAACTTCATCACCGCAAAGGAAAGCCTTCTGAACTGGGAGGGATGCTTACTGTCCCACCCCAGCTTGCAGGAAGGACCCTCCTAAGTGGTTGCAGCATTTTCTTCCAGGCTTTCCCTTTGAGATGGAGCCAGGTGGGGCATGCAGGGATTGACCACAGTTTCATGAGCATGAGACTCCAGTGTTCAGCTGCCAAGGGTAGGCATCCATATTTAGGTATGGGGGGCTGACATGGGGAGCAAAGACCGGAATGTATGTGGGTGGGCCTATGAGCAGGGAACCCTTGCTAGTCCACTTAGTATTTTTGTGACAGCTCCTTTGGGAAACGCATCCTGACCAACAGAGGAGCCCTAGCCCCATGTGAGTCTTTCTCCAGGCTCTGTTGTGTGCACAGCCCCTGCAATAGGATCCAGACAAGAACCTATGTGATCACCTGCTCACTGCTCTAGTATCTGTGTAGGGTACTCAATAAATAGCAAGTAAAACTTTGAATTAATAAATACATCATCATGAAGAGTTCCTGTGTCAGAGGAAGTATGGTTTTGTTTCAACTCCGGCTTGTGTCTATTGGATATCACTCTTCCTTAGGCAGGGCCTCAGCATAGGCAATAGAAATGAGGTCAGCATTTCCTTACTGAAGGCCCGCAAGGCTGTGGGTGTGTCCAGGTCACAGATCCACGCCCTTGATGTTGCTCCCTCCTCTCCAAGTGTGAGGCCAAGGAGGTCTGATTGGTGCATGTCCAGGCCACCATCTTGTCTTGTCACAACCAGAGGAGGTGGGTCAACACTATCTGTCTACCTTTCTGTTCAAAAGCAGCACCAGCTGCTACCCGCAGAGGGGGGCCAGGGAGGTGTTGGTGTCCTTGGTGGCTCAGTGAGGCGGGGCTTGTGCCTTGAGTTTCATGGCCTCTTCCTGCGCCCTCTGTAGCTTGTATATCCTGATCTTTCTCTGGCGGTTATAGAAGTATATGACTGCCGTGCTTATAAGGACCACAGTGACCAACATTACCACCAAAATGATGATCAGGGTAGGGTCGTAGTCTGTGTAGTAACAACAGAAGGGGATGATAAGGATTAAGCACCTGGCACCCTGCCCACCACTCACCCAGCCCTATACCCCGGGACACTCACAGACCACTCTTAGGAATACGTCCCTGGTGACATTTCCACGGGAGCTTTCAGCATAGCACACATAGGTGCCATTCATCGCCCGACTGACAGACTTCACCACCCCGATGGGCAGTGGGGCTCCATCTCCTTTCCGGTTGCAGTTCAGTGTGTGGGGGGGTGGGTTCCCCCTGGCCTCGCATTTCAGAGTCTGCTGAGACCCCTCTTCCCAGGTCCAGTTCCCCCGGCAGTCACTGTCATCCAGGTAGGGACCATCTGGAGAAATGATCATGTGAGGACACAGGCCAGGAAGGGCTCAGAAGGCACCTGGGGCACCAGGGGACCGCAGTTACCACCGGGCAGGCCCACTCACTAGGGGATCTCAGTTACCACCGGGCAGGCCCACTCACTAGGGGACCGCAGTTACCACCGGGCAGGCCCACTCACTAGGGGACCGCAGTTACCACCGGGCAGTCCCACTCACACAGCACTTGTAGTTCCAGGGTCCGGGTTTTAAACAGCACCTGCCCAGCCACCTTCAGGGTAGCAGAGCAAGATAACTGTTCTTTGTCATCCTTAGCTCTGGCTGTCAGCGGGAACTCGACCTTCGGGGACGGGAACTCGACCTTCGGGGACGGGGTCCCCAGCGGAGCACCAGTCAGATTCACCACCAGCGCTCCACCACTGGCTTCACAACTCACAGTCACTTGGTTCCCTTCTGAGACGTTTGGCTGGCTCAGGGTCAAGGCAGGAGCTGAAAAGCCTGTGTGGGAAGGACACACCGAGAGCCCGCCCAATGCAAACCCAGCCCTTGATGGCTCACTGGCCCCCTCTAGTGTCAGCCCCAACCTCCAGCATAGGACATTCGTGGACCGGGTTCCCCCTTTTGAAAGGCCTAGCATATTTTTGTTGTTGTTTGTTTTTGGAGACAGGGTCTTACTGTGCAGCCCTGGCTGGCCTCGAACTCATAACAAACCCACCGGCCTCTGCTACTCCTGTGCTGGGATTAAAGGTGTGTGTCACTACTCCCTGCCTCAGGTCTTTCTCTTGAAAATGCTTTCACCTGCGTTAGTCGTGCCCCTGGTCCCAGTCCTGACTCCCATGTGGGCTAACCTATGCTAGGCTGCGGCCCCAGAAGTTCCACCCCTGGGCGCCTACACTGGGTCCATCCTCTGCTTTGGGCCCTACTCTTGGTATCAAGTCTCAAGCTATCTCTGGACTAAGCCCACCCCTTCTTACTGTAGATGTTCAAGGTCCTCTCCGCAATCAGGGTCTGGTTTGCCAGCTCCAAAACACAGCGCAGCTGCTGAGTTCCCTCCAGCTCTGCAGTCACCTCCACCAAGGCCGTGGCTAACACCAAGTCTCCGTGGTTTCTGCTCTTGGAGATCAGTGTGTGGCCTCCCAGCTCCAGAGATATCTGGGCTTCAGAGGCAGGAAACAGGTCTTCCAGGGAGCAGAGCACTTTCTGTTTGGTGCCTACCTCCAGGAGGTCAGGGGTGTCAAGCTTCGGGATGGTCAGAGGAAGATCTTAAGAGAGAACACAGACATAAGGGAAAGCAATGGCCACCCACAAACCCATTTTTCTTCCTTCCTTCCTTCCTTCCTTCCTTCCTTCCTTCCTTCCTTCCTTTCTTCCTTCCTTCCTTCCTTCTTTAATGTACATTGGTGTGAAGGTCAGATCCCCTGGAACCTGAGTTTACAGACAGTTGTGAGCTGCCATGTGGGTGCTGAGAATTGAACCTGGGTCCTCTGGAAGAGCAGTGTTCTTAACTGCTGAGTCATCTCTCCAGTCCCCCATTTTTCTTTATATTTACTTAATGTATTTACTGTGTATACATGGACACGTCTCACTTGAGGAGGCCAAATCACAGTTGTCTCCTTTGGAAGTTGTGAACTGAACTCGTGTCATCTAGCTTGGATGCAAACCCTTCACCCAATGAGCCATCTCGCCAGTCCCAAAACTTCCACTGACAAGATCACCATTTTCTCAGCACCACTGCAGGGGTCAGCTTCTCCCCGAGGTCCCACCTGCACCCTGTGGAGGAACCCTGGGTCCCAGAGCCTCACCGAGGGTCAGCTTCTCCCCGAGGTCCCACCTGCACCCTGTGTAGGAAGACCCTGGGTCCCAGAGCCTCACCGAGGGTCAGCTTCTTCCCAAGGTCCCACCTGCACCCTGTGTAGGAACCCTGGGTCCCAGAGCCTCACCGAAAGTCCAGAGCTGCCTGGTCATGGAGACATTTGTGAACAGCGCTAGCCCTAGTGGCCTGAGGTCCAGTTCTGTGCGACATGAGAAATTGGCTTCGTGGTCATCTCTGCTCACCAGCACCGTGGTTGTAATCTCTTTGGGGTTCTTGCGGTCCACATCCACTGGCTGCCGGTACAGCACCTCCTCCCCTCGGAGCAGCATGACTGAGAGTTGGCTCCGCGGTGTCCCACCGTCCACCAGGCAGCGCAGGGTGAGGTTCTTGCCTACCTGCTGCCAGGTGGGCAGAGGGTCCAGCTCCACATGTTTTGGGACCGCTGCAGGGAGACAAGGGGTTAGAAATCCTGTAAGCTGAACCACTGCAGACCACACCTGTCTGATGACCTCAGTCTCCCCAAAACACACCCTACCATCTAAGCAGCTGGGAATGCAGAGAGCTTTGGGGAAAGCTAGGGAGGAGGCCAGGAGTGTTTGCACAGGGACAATAACCTTCCCAGCAATATTTGAGATAAATTCCAGTTTCTAGCATCAGAACATTGGGCAAATAAATAGAAATCTAAGCACCTGGGTGTGCTAGAGGTTGATCAGACTCTTGGCGGGGGGGGGGGGGGGAGTGAGTCAGTCTTAGAGGGCTTGCCTACCAGGCAGGAGGCCCTGGGTTCCATTCCCAGTCCCACAAATAAATTAAAATGGGCCAGGGAGATGGCTCAGAGGATAAAACTGATTGCCACACAAGCCTGAGTACCCGAGTTCAACCCCTGAATCCCATGTAAAGGTGAACAGAAAGACTCAACTTCAGGGGGCTGGAGAGATAGCTCAGTGGTTAAGAGCTTTGCCTACTCTTCCAAAGGTCCTGAGTTCAATTCCCAGCAACCACATGGTGGCTCACAACCATCTGTAATGAGGTCTGGTGGCCAGAATGCCCTCTTCTGGCCTTCAGGCATACACGCAGACAGAATTATGTATACATAATAAATAAATATTAAAAAAAAAGAATCAACTGCACAGAGCTGTCCTCTGACCTCCACATGTGCACATGGCATACAGTTCTACACTCACACATCATACACAAGAACAACACACCTTTAATCCCAGCACTCGGGAGACAGAGGCAGGTGGATCTCTGTGAGTTTGAGGCCAGCCTGGTCTACAAATTGAGTTCCAGGAGAGCCAGAGCAGTAACACAGAGAAACCCTGTCTCAAACAAACGAACAAATGAAGCAAAAAATAAACAAACAAGAAATACGACAAATAAAAGTTTAGGTCATCCAGCTACCTATAAAGCTGGAGCCTAGCCTGGACTACGTCATATATTATCTCAAAGAGGAACGGGCCAAGAAATTATTCAGAAGGTAAAGGGTTTTTTTCTCACTCAAGCATGACGATCTGAATTCAATCTGAGGGATCCATATGGTGGAAGAGAAAATAGATTCCCAAAGGTTGACTCTGAGGGCTGGAGAGGTGGCTCAGTGGTTAAGAGCACAGGCAGGCCTTGCAGGGAACCCAACATCTATATGGTGGCTCACAAGGCCAGAGAATCTGGCGACCTCTTCTGGCCTCCTCAGGCACCAGGCACTTACTTGGTGCACAGACTTCCCTATGGGCAAAACAACCATACACATAAAATAAAAATGAACCTTTTTGTAAAAGTTGACCTCTGACATCCACACACATACTGTGCCATCCCTTCCCATTCAAAATAAAAATTAAAAAAAAATACAACTTGTAGAATTTGAGTTCCTTGAACTGGAGAGATGGCTCAGTGGTTAAGAGCACTGGCTGCTCTTCCAGAGGACCTAGGTTCAATTCCCAGCACCAACATGGCAGCTCACAGCCATCTGTAACTCCTGTTCCAGGGGATCTGATTCCCACATACAATCTTTAAGACCAAGTATATAAAATAAAAATAAATAATTAAAAAGAAGAAGAAGAAAAGAATTTGGATCCTAAGTACCCAAACAGCCGCAGAGCCTGCTTCCCTGACTTAAAACCCAGGCACATGGGACGGCTTGGTACATTACTTCCTGACTCTGAGCTTCAGTCTCTCACCAAGGCCTAGTTGTTCCATTCTTCAAATATTTGTCTGCCCTTCCCATCTTGGATACTGCAATCACAAGCAGCAAGTGCAGACGGGCTGAGGCTGGATGCCAACTGCTGCCCAGCTTCCAGTAATCCAGCTTTCTGCTAACCAGATTGCTCCACACCCTTCATGGCTCTCCTGGGAGTGCGTGCTAGCTCCGGAGAGCACCTGACTCACCTACCCATGCACAGTCTTCTCTCCCCAACTCCAGCCTTGTTCTGGGCTCTTCCCTCTGCCTGGTGCAGTTGGGTTTTGTAGTTGTTTGTTGGTGCCCCCCACCGACCTGGAAATCATTATATAGACCAGGCTGGCCTTGAACTCTGCCTCCCAAGTACTGGAATTAAAGGTGTGCAACCACCACACCTGGCTCAAATTAATTGTGATCACAGGGTAGAAATTAAGGCACAGTTGAAAAGTAAGCCAAAGTAACAGATACAGAAAGGTCGCAGAGACAGAATTCCAGCCCCAGCCTTGGGTTTCCAAGACCAGGTACCCTGGAAAAGCTCTTCAAAGGAACTTCCTAAGGCCACCACCAGGAAAGCCTGGGGACTTCCCTTCTTCCAGGGCAGCACTGGCACATACTCCCCCATCCTCCAAACCACACGCTGAGATTTCCCAAAGGCTTCTGTCCTGATACTGCTAGGATTATGGCCTTTAGGCTTCTTCATGTCAGAGCTACCCAAGGGAAACTGACAGGGTCAACAAATAAACCACGACGCCAAGAGCCCAATGGTCACCCAGTTCCTTGGTGCTAATTCCAGAGCCAGTTGGGTAGAACCTCTGCCTGGAATTCCCCAGTTAGGGGGTAGGGACACAGTTTAGGGAAAGAACCCCAGCCTAGAATACCCAGAGGAGCTGGGAGCTGGGTTGGTGGTTAGTGCTAGCCTAGCCTGTGAACACTGGGTTCCATGTATAAATATGGCCTCTGCCATTCTGCCCCCACTGCTCCTGAACACAGAAACCGTCACGGCGCTCTTCCTCAGCACCCATTTCCTTCTGAGGTACACCATTCCTTCGAGCAGGAAGGTGCTTATGCATTCTTTTATAGAGTTGCATACTCTTCCATGGTCCGTCTAAATCAAACTAATCTCACCATCTCTCTATTTGTGATTGTCTGACCTTCAGATACAACTGTACTACAGATTGGAGGTAGAGCACAGCGACAAAGTAAAGACCTGGCTGAGTGCCAAGGCCTGATGATTCCATCCTCAGCCTAAAGGGACAGAACAACCCTAGAGCCTGACCCGTTCCCTGTAGGAGGGATCCATGCATCAATGATTTCCAAGACTGTGAAGGTCACAGGACACATACGGATCTTGTGTAAAGAACTGACATCCAGCCCCCATGCTTGGAAGCACACACCTATGATCTGGGTGCCTGCGAGGCACATACATGAAGAGCAAGATGTCAGGAGCTGGAGAGAGTACTCAGAGATTAACAGCACTGGCTGCTTTTCCAGAGGACCCGGGTTTATTTCCCAGCACCCACATGACAGCTCACAACTGTCTGTAACTCCAGTTCTAGGGAATCTGACATTCTCACACAGATATACATGCAGGGAAAACACCAATGAACATGAAATAATATTGTCTTGTTTTGTTTTTTGAGACAGGATTTCTCTATGTAACAGACCTGACTGTCCTGGAACTTGTTTTGTAGACCAACTGGCCTCGAACTCACAGAGATCAGTCTGTCTCTGCCTCCCTAGTGCTGGGATTAAAGGCATGCACCACTAGCTACCACCACCTGGCTTTAAAAAATTACTTTTTAAAACCCCAAATATTAGAAATAATTAAAAATAAAGACAAAACAAAACAAAAAAAAAAAGCAGAACAATCCGGACATCAAATGGTGGGGTTTTGGAATGTGCTAAATTCCTGTGGTACACTCTCCTTGCAGAAGTTTAAAAGGGTCTCTAAGAGACAGCGGGACTTTCCAGGGCTGTCTGCTGGTGCCAGTTGCCATGTCCCCACTGGGTCTCCCTATACTCCACCCCTGGCCCTGTCACTCACAGTATAAGATGATGGTGGCAGAGGCTGATGACTGGATGGTGCCACAGGTCTCAAAGCACAGGGGCTTGCTGTCTTCTTCAATGTCACTCAGTTCAAACAGCTTCCACCTGAGTTCACTCTCTACCTCTCTTTTGGGCCACTGAGTCTCCAAGCCCAGGTTGAGGTTCTCACTGCAGGAGGAAGAGCAGTTCACCTGCAGGGATGCACCCCGCGGCAGGAAAACTTCTATGGGGTTGATGGATACTTGAGCGCCACCAGGCCCTGGAACAAAAAGGAGAGATGATAAACTGGTTCAGCCATGTAACTTCAGAGCTAGGTGCTAGATATGCAGCCTTGAGTCAGGCAGGATTTTGCCCTTGATGCAGCCATGCTTGAGTATACAAGGTAACTAATTATGGGTGCTGAGGGGCTGGTGGGACTGGGTGGAGTGGGCAGAGTGCCCTCCTGGCATGCCTGAAGCCCGAGTTCCATCCTCAGCACCCATAACATGGGTGTAGCAGCACACATCTGTAATTCAGCACTCAGGAAGTAGAGGCAGGAGGATCAGGAGTTGAACGTCATCCTAGGCTACAGATGGAGCTCAAGGGTGGCCTTGGCTACAGAAATTCCCCTCTCCCCCAACACCAAGCACTGGATTTTCTTTCTTTGAAAAGTAGTATGTCTTTAATCCTAGTACTTGGGAGGCAGAGGCAGGAAGATCTGAGTTTGAGGCCAGTCTGGTCTATAGAGTGAGTTCCAGGACAGCCAGTGCTACACAGAGAAACCCTGCCTGGGGGAGGGGAATTAAAACAAAAGTGTCTGAGCTCAAGCTTCTCCTCCGCCCCAAAGATTCCAGTGCTGTGATTAGCAGTCTGGGGTGGCGGTATTCCATCCAGTTGGAGATTCTCTCAAGGCACCTCTGGTTCCATGGAGAGCCCTGAGGCTAAAAAGATCCAGCTAGGAGTAATGGATTCTGGGAGTCCAGATCAGTAGCCTCCTGTGAGCTGCAGAGCAAGTTCTGAATCTTCCTCTCATTGGAGGAGGTAGGTGCTGCCCCCAGGTAGCCGCAGGGGAGGGCAACAGTGGGGAGTCCTGAGCCACCTCACTTCTCAGCCTTTGCCTCCTGAGTACACAAACCCTGGAATTCCCCAGCGCAGAAGCAGCCTGGACTTCCCCAAGGGTGAGGATGAGGAACAGAGTAACTGTGGGGAGCAACCGGACCTCAAGGCTCAGCTTCGTATTGGTGGTTCCACAAACTATTGGTTCCCCACTTGGGCCACATTCTAACTGTCCCACGACAAGGGCGGTGACCACAGTTCCCATTGCACAGACCAGGATCCAGGTTCTAAACGGACAAGTTTATGGAGGAGTGGTGTGTCTCGAGCCTATCTATGATCCCAGACTAAAGGGGGAAACGTGTGTGTGTGTGTGTGTGTGTGTGTGTGTGTGTGTGAGAAGACTGAGAGTTCAAGGCCAGCCTAGGCTAAATGTCTTGGTGGCATTCTCAAAACAGGAAAGAAGGGAAGGGGAGGGGAGGGAGAAGAGGAGAAAGAGAGGGAGAGAGAGACAGACAGACAGAATTGTGTTCTGTAACCCATTCGCGGGATTCGAACTCCAAGCTGTTAGTTTTCAACCCTTCACTTCCACTCCCACTTCCCGTTAATAGCCACCTAATTACTACCGGTTTGCTGTTCCGCTGGCCAGGGAGAGCAGATTCCACCCGGAGTCCAGAGACTAATCCCTAAAAGCGACCCCACCTCGGACTCACCTGGAATCACAACGGTGACCAGGGCCAGGAGCAGAGGCAGGGTGGGAGCCATAGCAAGGCCAGGGCAGAGCGCAGGTAGCAGCAGCGTCCGGGGCACAAGCACAGGGTGCAGACTGAGGCTCTGCACCGCGTGCGGTCCTTTATAGTCGCTGGCCACGGGGGACCGAGGGGCGGTGCTGGCGGGGCCACTTTCCCGGAAACCTCGCGCCTTCCCCTCTTGAACGAGGACTTCGGTATTTCCGGATGGAGACAGTGCCCTGGCCCTGACCGAGAGGGGTGGTCCTGCCTCGCTGGCTCTCGTGGCCCAGGAATTTCCAAACTGAAGCAATGACATGTTGGGGGCGGGGTGTGTGTGAGGGAGAGGGTGTCAGCGAACTGAAGGTGCGTTCAGGAGAGAAGGCTCCGGGCCTCCTGGAGTCATGCCTCCAGGTTAATTGGTTAACTAATGCGTAGTTCCCTGGAGGACTGTCCCCTCGAGGGGGTAAACTGAGGCTCGGTGCTGGGCAGGTAAATCCCGAACCTCCAGCTCCTACAGGCCCCTTTAACCCATCAGACATCCTTAGCCAAGGGTAAGAGCTCCCTGGAACCATTTGGGGACGCGGTCTATCCAGAGACGCCCCTCTCCTTACGGCCATGCCCCACCTAGTTGGCACTAGAGATTTTCGGAGCAACGGTCCAAGCAGGACCGGACAGATCCGGCGTGGTGAGTCCTGCCAGAGAGGCGTAGTGCAGTCCTCGCGTCCCTCCTCCCACCCACGGGCGCCCCCGCCCCCGAGGCCTCGCTTCCCCTTTCTACTTTGACCTCTGTGGCGTCTTGACAGCTCCCCTAGAAGGAAGGAAGAAGTCTGGTCCTGTGGCATAGAGCCCTGCGCCGCCCTTTCCCAGGCTGGATGAGAAACTGATGGCAACTGAAGGGGAGAGGTGGCCCCTCCCAGAGAGACGGACCTGGCCTCCCCTTCATCCCTGACCCCCAACCCCCCACTGAGTCTTCTCTCCCCCCTCCTTCCTCTCCCCCTCCTTTTCTCTTTTCTCTCCAATCTCTCTCTTTCTCTCCCTCTCCTCGTTCTCTCTCCCTCCTCCCCTCTCATCTCTCCCCTACAAAACCATCTCTTTTCTTGAGGCTGGGCGTCAAATAGCCCAGGCTGGCTTCAAACACTCCGTAGCTGAGAAAGATCTTGAACTCCGGATTCTGCCTCGTGCTTCATCACACTTGGTTATTTTAACTTTTGTTCTCTTCAGTGAAACTGAGACGGACCCTGAACTCCAAAGCTGACGAAGAGAGAACTCTTGAACCCCAGTCTTCCAACTCAGGGGCTTGCGTTGGACCTCAGGCGCCCGAGGAGGCTTCCTGTTGTGGGACTCGGGTACAGTTGCCGTGGAGACCTGAGCTAGGCCAGGAGGTCGTGCTGCAGATGCGGAAGGGAGAGGTCTAGATGAGCGTGCTCTTCCTCCTGCCACCGCAGCTCCCGGGACACTCCGCAACCCACGCCCCCGGCCTGGGCATTCCTAAGGAATTTCCACGGGGATCTTTTGATCTTGGGGGGCTGGAGAGGGGGCATTCAGTCTCCGCCCCGGAACAACCGTGGCAGAGTTGCCAGGGTGACCTTAGGGAGGTCTGGGAAAACCCTCGGAGTGGATCTTTCTTTTGGTGCCCCTACTTCATGTGCATGAGCCTCCAGCTCTCCAAGTTACCATCTGCAGCCCTAAGAGTATAGTTGTTTAAGTGGTGTCTACTGTGTGCAGGGCACCATCGTTCCCTGAACAGAATATTGGAAAATCCTGCTGGGATGCTCAGCTGAGCGGTGACAAGCAGAACACAACTCTACTGTGACAGTGATACACATGCAGGCAAAGCATTCACATATGAAATAGAATTAATCTAATACAATAATTTAAAAAAGTATTTCTGGGGCTGTAGCTCAGTAGAGTGACTGTTTAACAATCACAAAGCCTTGGGCCAGTGTGGTGGCACAGACCTATTAGTCCCAGCACTCAGGAGGCAGAGGCAGGCAGATCTCTGAGTTCAAGACCAGCCTGGTCTATAGAGCAAGTTCCAGAATATCCAGGGCTACACAGAGAAACCCTGTAATGAAAAAAGGAAAACAGGTGTGAGCGTGGAGAGACAGTGCTGCTCTTCCAGAGGTCCTATGTTCAATTCCCTGCAACCACACAGTGGCTCATAACCATATATGAGATCTGGTGCCCTCTTTTGGCAGGTCTGTGCACATGCAGACAAGAGCACTCACATTTAAGAAAAACAAAAAAATCCAGGGCGGTGGTGGCATATGCCTTTAATTCCAGCACTGGAGAGGCCGAGACAGGCACATTTCCATGACTTCAAAGTCAGCCTGGTCTACGAGAGCGAGTACCAGGACAGCCGAGGCTAAAAGAAACCCTGTCTCGGGGTAGGGGGGACAGTTAGAAGCAAATCTGGCATATATGTGACCTTGCCTGTGTGGTCCACTGAACATCTCTTGGGTTTAGATCTATTCCCAGGCTAGAGCCACTGGATTTGTGCTTGTGAGTAGAGCCAAGGGCAATTCCTGGGTCCTAGTCTGAAATCCTGGGAGGGCCTTTTGCCGAGGTGGCGATAGGGACGTACTTCGGAGTAGCACATTCTACAATTACTTTCTTTTGTAGTTTCCTTCCCTGCGCTGTGCCTCAGTCTGCAGGAAGGGCATGACTTCCTCCCTGGTGCCAATGTTCTCACACAAACCAAGGAATGTACTGAAGCTTCCAGCCTTAGTCCATGACGTTATCTTCCGAGTTCTGCTGGGGACACCTTGCAGTTCCCTCAGCCTACCATGCTTCCCCAGTCACCCCAACACGGTTTGTCCTCCTACCTGGAGCCTGAGCCAGCCCAGTTTTTGCTCCCCAGTTCTGGTGCTTTGTTTTTTAAGACAAAGTCTCATGTAGCTCCTGCTAGACTCAGACTATGTAGTTCAGGGTGACCTTAAACTCCTGGCCCTCCCACCTCAACTTCCCAAGTGCACTCAGCAGCTTGCCTGGCTACATCCTAATGACTTCAAAGTTCATTCTAGGAATCGCACTGCTTTCTTAGGATGCCTTTGTCTCCTACAGCTGTGGAGGGTCTCCAGTGTGGAGGGACAGGTTCTGGCCTTGTGGAAACCCTGTGGGTGGTGGTGGGTCTTATTGCTTCCTTAAAGTTCTAACATAGGAATTGCATCTGTGTCAAGGTACAATTGTCCCCTTGGGCTGGAACACTCCACCTCAGATCCTCTAACTGTAGTAGTGGCCAGTACACACGGGGCGAACATCAGCATACCTGTAACTTATTCCAGTGACCTGTTCAGTGGAATTGGGGCACGTGATGTTGTTTGAGATAGGGGTTCTCTGTGTAACAGCCCTGGCTGTCCTAGAACTTGCTTTGTAGACCAGGCTGTCTCTGTGTCCTGAGTGCTAGGATTAAAGGTGTGTACCACCACATCCCAGCATTGTTAGTGTTTTTGAAATAGGGTCTGTGGTAGCCCTTCAAGTTATGTAGCTAAGGGTGACTTTTCCAACCTTCCCTCCTGTTTCTGCCTCAAGTGCTGGACACTTAACAGGTGTGTGCCACCATGCCTGCCTGCCCTTACTATGTAGCCCAGGTTATCCTTAAAATTGTAGTTCTCCACCCTCAGTCTCTCAAGTGCTACACTAGAGCAGCATACCACACAAACTTCTGTTTTTCTAGTAACAGATCCCATGGTTACTTTTTCAGAAAGGGGCTGGCAGTCTCAGTGTGACTGGGCTGTCTAGCTGTACATACACCAGCAGAAAGCAGTCCTAGTCAATGTTGGTCCTAGTTTAGAGACAGTGCTGACCGTTCTTTGTGGGACCCTTCCCACTCTCTCTGGGAGTTCCTTCTCATTTTTTCTTTTTAAATGATTTGTGTGCATTGGTGTTTTGCCTGCATGTCTGTGTGAGTGCTGGGAATCGAACCTGGGTCCTCTGCAAGAGCAGCCAGTGCTGTTAACAGCTGAACAGCTGAGTCACCTCTCCAGTCCTCATTTTTCCTTTATAAACCTATGTTCGCTAGGTGGTGGTAGCACACAGCTTTAATCCCAGCACTTGGGAGGCAGAGACAGGCAGATCTCTGTGAGTTTGAGGCCAGCCCTGAGGTATACAGAGCAAGTTCCAGGACAGCCAGGTCTGTTACACAGAAAAACCCCATCTCGAAAACCAAAAAATAGAAAAATAAATAAAAATAGACAAACCTATGTTCTCTGCTAAAAATAAGTCAGGCATAGTCATGTGTACCTGGAGTCTTTATACTTGGGAGATACAGCCCTGCCTGGAAACTCAGTGAGGGGCAGAGGGTGTAGCTTAGGGTTAGAGCGCCCATCTAGACACAGACCACAGGGGAAAATTTTTTTTTCTTTTAAGCCCTTTTAATTTTTAACTTACTTTACGTTCTCTGTCTACATATCCATGTACTGTTTATGCCTTGTGCCAGCTCCTTCTGGAACTGGAGTTGAAGATGGCTGTGAGCTGCCATGTGGGTATTGGAACTCCAAGTCTGGTCTTCTGGGAGAGTACCCAGTGCTCTTCAATGCCAAGCCATTTATCTCTCCAGTCCACAATTTAAAATAAATAAATAACCTGAGAATATATCTGAGTGGTGGTATATGCCTCTAATCCCAGCACTTGGAAGGCAGAGGCAGGCAGATTTCTGTGAGTTCAAGGCCAGCCTGATCTAGAGAGTAAGACAGCCATGGTTACACAGAGAAACCCTGTTTTGAAAAATAAAAACAACAAAAAGCAAAACTGAGAATACCGGCATGGTGTCTTTAAACTTTTTGTTTGTTTTATCACAAGAACACATGACGTTGGTTTGTCTGATTCTGTGCCTGAAGAAAGCTGTTAGAGGAAACCCACATGGCACACAGGTGGCAGACCCTCCTAGAGGTGAATGCAGGCTGCTGGCTTGGCACCCATGCATGTTCCCAGCATCTGCCTCAGCAGGAAGAAGTTCCTCCTGACATTGTATTGTAATATACTGGTAGCCCCAAGGCTGCCATCAGAGCAGGATGTGAGCCCTGGAGGAGAGGCACCTAGGATGCCCAGCACTGGATTAACAGCCTAAGCGCTGACAGAATCCCACATGCAGTGACCAGCTCCATTTCCAAGTCTTGTGAACAACAGGGTTTACTTTTAATGTGGCAAAAGATCCCCGGGAGGCATTCATCTTGGCTCTATCCAGTTACCTGCTCCTGGCACCAGGACCCAGCAGCTTCCAGGGAACAGCTTTTTTGCAGGACAGATGATGTGCTGACCTGGTCCCCAAGTGGGGTGGGCCTCTAGGTGCCCAGGGCAGGGTTAGGGGAAGTCATTGTAGGGCAAGCGGAAGGGGTAGAGCGGAGTGTATCTTGAATCCTGCCAGAGTAGCTTGTCCTCCAGAAAGGCGATGGAAGGCAGGGTGAGGACCAGAGTCTGGTGTTTGAGCATGCTGTACACATTCAGGCCTGGGATGTGAATGCACAGTCAGGGTGTGGCTGTCCTCTAGTTCAGACCAAGTCCCTCTTATCTGAAGCCTGAGCCCTTGCCCTCCTCTAGGGTATACTGCTAGTCTTTAGATCCCACTGAAAAAGGAACTGAGGAACTACCTGCCTTTACATCAGCCCAGTATTTGACTGTGACCCCCCATGCCACATTCCAATGAGGAGAACAAGGGAAGTGGATAAACATACTCTATCACTGGAAGACCAGACTCAGCAGGCACCATCGTGTGAGGGGAGGAAAAAAACGGACAGGGGAAACCAGCTCTCACCCAGGTGCTCATGCTTGCCCCCTGCAGGCTATGTGTGGAAGAGACTTTAGCAGATAATGACCTTCCAGGGCTTCTTTCAGTTGGGGCAGCTGAAGGATGGAGGAGTGGCACTGGGCAGAGCACATGCCTGGCCCTGAGCCCTGGCTTCCACCCCAGCACAAAAACTAAATGGTAAATTCTTAGGCATGACATTCGGTCATGGTGTGACCGTACAGGGTTTGAACTGTCCAAGAGTAACAGTGGCATCTGTGCTGGTTTGCTCCAAGGTTCTCAGGTGAGGGCTTGTGGGGGTGAGGGCTGGGCCCATCACTCACCAACTGCAGGGATCAAGTTGAAGCTCTTGAGCCTGGAGGTGGCTGCCACAACATTCTTGGGCATCTCTTCATGTGTCCTGGAACACATGGATGCTAAGAGGGTAAGTCTGGCAAGGCAGAACACAAGAAACTTGGCCCCTACTTCCCCACCCTGCCCTGTGCCCTCACAAGTCTACAAGAAGCACGGAATTCCCCCAGTGGCGGTACTGGGCCAGCTCTGTCAGGTACTGAGGGTCTGCAGTGGGCAGTTCCAGAGACTCCACGATGTGAAGGTCATCCTATGGAGAAAGATAGAATTTTGGGCTCTGTACTAGGACTGCCAGGCGCCAGCTGTTTTCACTCCCAGCTGTACTGTACCATACCTGCATCAGCTTGACAGTCAAGGCCACCTTGAGGCCCAGTGCCCTCACTTTCATGGGCAACATGTAGTAGTAACTTGTAGGGCCCCGGGGACCATGGGCTACGCCTCCTGCAGGGACAGTGTGGCATGTGATCAGGTGCTGGTCACTGCTGGGCTGGGAGGTCAGAAATCAGCCTGATGCCTGAGACAGAGTGGTGGAGTGGGCAATAAACAGGAGCTGGAGGAGCTGGGAAGGACAAGAAAGACTGGACAGAGAGTGGGGAGGAGGGCCTGTGGGTATGCATGAAGATAGTCATCCAACTCGATTACAAGAAACTGAAGGAGAGTAAGAGTTCAATACCAGGACCAGCTTGGGATACATAGCAAGACCCAGCCTCAAAAGAGAAAAAATGCACGACCACATTATTAAAGGAGGTGAGGGCTGTAGCTCAGTTAGAGAGGGCCTGCCTAGTGTGCACACAACCTTGGGTTCCACCCCCAGCACTGCACCAACAGGCTTGGTGGTGCAAGGCTCTCAGATCTCTGTGCCTCACTGCTCTACATGCTTGAGTCCAGTGTCACCTGTCCCAGTGGGCTAATAAGCTGGGCACTCAGGGGTCCCTTGTCATGGCAGCTGTGGGCACCTGCATGTAAAGGGTCATCTGGGAATCCCTCCCAACTGGGTCCCACTCACCTCCCCGCCATATGGGGGAACGGATGCTGCCATGTCGGGCACGGCCACTGCCTTTCTGTTGCCAGGGCTTGCGGCCACCACCACTCACCTCAGCCCTGGTCTTGGTCTTAGCATAGCTCTGTGAGTACAAGAGTGGGGATGAGGTTCAGACAAATGGCAGCAAAGACTGTCTTAGGGAGGGAATGGGGGAGTAATGGGACCTCGTTCACAGAGCACCTGACGTTTCTGTGTGCTAGCTTGCTGGGCTGAGACCCAGGCCTCCCCATACAGCCCAGACTCTGTATGCTCAATTTCCCCTCCTCAGCTGTGGCAGTGCTGCAATTAGAGGCTTGGCCATCACATCTGACTCCCTTGTTGACTCCTGAATGTTCTTGGCACAAAGCTCTTCCTCTCACTGACAAAGTGATAAAAGTAACACTAGGCTCTGTGTGGTCCTTTCCGGAGTATTCAGGCATGCCGTCCCCACTAACCTCACTCCAGCTGCACTGCCTGCCAGTTAGGTAAGTCAGGCTGTAGGTAGAGTGCGTTAAATGTCCCTTTATGGCTGGAGCATGGCTCAGCAGTAGAGTACCTGTCTAGAAACTCTAACGAGGGGCTGGTGACGTAGCAAGTGAGAGGGCGCTTATTAACAGAGAAGCTGCCCACCCAACCTTTGAGGCTCTAGGTTCATCACCCAGTACACAGCACTAAGGACCTCTCTCTGGAAAGGTGATGTGTGCCCAGTCTAACTTCTGATTCTGTTCACCTCTCCCACTAGTGGGCAGGGGTCTGCTGCGCTGCAGACTCACTAACGTAACACCCACAGTGATGGGTGCTGAGATATGACCTGAGAAGTGACCTCCTCTGAATGGCACAGGCAGACAAGGCTTGAGCCGGGCTGTTTCCAGAGAGCACACTCGCACACCTCTGAGCCCAGTGGGCTCTGCCCAGCTACTCAGGACACTCACGATTCTCTTGAAGTTCCTCTGCCAGATGGCAACCTGGTGCAGAACATCCAGCCTGGAAAAAGGGAAGGGAGATCTAAGAGGGACACCCCAATTGAAACTCTCCCACACCTGCACCCCAGTAAAGGAATTCTGGCTCTTCCTTAGGCATTCAGGACTCTATGTCTTCCACTCTGTGATAACCACAGCGGACACCGCCCCAACTCAAGCCCATCTGTGTACCGTGGAGTCAGTCAGGCTTGGTGGCTATGCCTCACCTCCTGGTACTCAAGAGGCTAAGGCAACAAGATGGAAAGCTAAAGGCCTGGCTGTGCTTGATGATAAGACTCCATCTCCCGCCTGGAGACAGTGGAGTTGAGGGCAGGGTGGTGGTGGTGGTGGTGGCGGTGGCGCACGCCTTTAGTCCCAGTACTCGGGAGACAGAGGCAGGAGGATCTCTGTGAGTTCAAGGTCAGCCTGGTCTATAAGAGCTAGTTCCCGGACAGGCTCCAAAGCTACAAAAACAAACAAACAAAAAGAGTGGAGCTGAACATCAGAACCTCTATACCGGCTCTCTCACTGAAATGCTCTCATCCTGGCTGGATCCAGCAGGCTCAAGCTCAAGGTATCCAACCTTGTGAGGGGAGGGAGGCTGGAGAGACAGCTCAGTGGTTAAGAGTACTTGCTGCTCTTCTAGAGGGCCTAGGTCCAATTCCCAGCACCCAAAACAGCCCACAACTGATTTTAACTCCAGTCCTGACCCCTTCCTTCTTTGGGCTTCTGAGGGCACTGTACACATGTGGTACACATACACATTCAGAAAAACACTATATATAAAATTAAAATCTCATTTTTTTTTTTTTTTTTTGGTTCTTCAAGACAGGGTTTCTCCGTGTAGTCCTGGCTGTCCTGAAACTCCCTTTGTAGACCAGGCTGGCCTCCAACTCACAGAGATCCACCTGCCGCTGCCTCCTGAGTGCTGGGATTAAAGGCATGTGCTACCACCACCCGACTCAAATATTTTTTAAGCAAACAAAAGCAACATATAATACAGAACTCTGAAATACAGGTGAGATTTACCGGCATTATAGATGTCTGTGTGTGTGTGTGTGTGTGTGTGTGTGTGTGTGCGCGCACGCGTGCACCCAGTCAGAAGACAATCCTAGGTAATGGTCCTCTTGTTTGCTGATGTTAAAGTCAGGCTACTTGGCCTTGGAGCTTCTGGGCACACTCCTGTCTCTACCTTCCATATGTGAGCGGGAGTGCTGGGATTACACACATATTCCACCACACTTGACTTTATGTGGGTTGAGGGTTAAACTCAGACTTGTGTGCAAGTGCTCTGCCTACTGACCAGGCTCCCCCGCCCTTTATAGTAAGCCTGGTAATGTCACTGAAGTATTCATCACTAACTGTGCTTCACCGATCACATGCTACCAGTGTCCACTGTGGGCAAAATGGTGGGAAAAGCAATCTGCAGGCAACTGATACGGCTCAGTGGATAGAGGCACTTGCAGCGAAGCCAGACACACGAGGAAAAGAGAAAACCAATTCCTGTAAGCTGTCTCCTCAGTGCCACACATACACTGTGGCACACATGTCTGTCGTCCCCCCAAAAAATGGGAAAAAATTAAAAGCCCAAGTTCATCATGGAGATGGTGGGAAGTTGCAGCCTGGTCTGACAGTACACATCTTTAATCCCAGCACTAGGGAGGCAGACAGGAGGGTCTCTGGGTTCAAGGTCATCTTGGTCTACCTGGTGAATTCCATGACAGCCAGGAGAATACAGAGACCCAGGAAAACAACAACAAAAGAAGCCAGTGGCAGGGGGAGGTAGCCCTTCCTACAGTATCTCACCTAGATACTTCTCTATGATTTTAAGATTTACTTTATACATGCATGTGTCTCCTGCCTGCATACATAGGTATATATGTGCATCACGTGTTTGCCTGATGCAATATCCAGGAGTGAGCACTGGTTCAAACTACAGTTAGATGGTGCAAAAATTCTGTTTCAGCCTTTCCCGAGCTGGTATTTCAGGCACATGCCAACAAGTCCGGTCTTTTTTCAAGACACGGTTCCTTTGTAGTACCGGCTGTCCTGGAGCTCGATCTGTTGACCACGCTGGCCTCAAACTCACAGAGATTCCCCCTGCCTCTGCCTCCCGAATGCTAAAGGCGTGTGCCACCACCACTCGGCTAAGTCTGGCCTCCTTCCCAGCCATTTTTGAAAACGTTAATTCATGTAACGATACTTAGCATTTTTATTTTTACTTATGGTGTCTCATAGCTCAGGCTGGCCCGGGGCTCACCTTGACTATTAATTTCTCTATGCTCCTATCTCCACCTCCACCGTGCTGGGTGGGATTAGAGGTGTGGGTTCCTATGACAGTTGTGTAGAATAGTGGAAGGGAGCCCAGGGCCTCGTGCACAGCTGGAGCACTTGCTGCTCTAATAGTCAACGTTTCTAGAGAAGTTCGTGTGTGTTAAATTAATCTACCTAGTCATCAACCCACTTCCTGAGTTCTGATAAAAGGGGAACCCAGCACCACAGAGTATGGCAGGATGTAACAGCCCAAGGTGGCTGTAGGGTTACGTACGTCCTTTGTCCTCCCGCCCTGTGGCAGGGAAACCGAAAGCCCTTCCACAGCAGCCTGCACTCACCGGGGCGCTGTGGCAAACACATCCGGGTGCAGCTCCGCCAGACCGACCCGCTCCTGCTCGAAGCCACGCAGCGACTCGACCCAGGCCTGCACCGGGCGCCGGTGCGCGGGGACCCGGAGCTCGCACTTTCGCAACACGGGACTTAGGAGACCTGGGGGTCGGGGAATGAGTGAGCACGGGTCAGGAACAAAAATCAACACTTCCGCTGCATCCTCCCAACTCTGTGCCAAGCTGTGACCCCGGCCGCCTCACCCGCGCTAACCCCCGACTCCGAGCTCTCGGCTGGCCCTGCCGAGTGTTCCGCTAGCGAGGTGAGGACCTGGAAAATGATAGGCGTTTATTTAGAAGTGTTCCCTGAGAGTTCACAACCTTTGACCTCCGACCCTGACCTCAGCTTGGCACCCTACCCGGGAGTCAGAGGGTCGATGCCAGGCCTGCGAAGCGGCCCGAAACAATCGCAGCATCGCGGGACAAATCTCAGTGGAGTTCCCGAGCCCCAAGGAGGCTCGCGGCCAGTACTGATGACGTCAGGCTGCGCCGCCAGACGTCAAGAATGCGACTCCGCGGCCCTCGGCTCTAGAACGCGCAGTTTTGCTGATGCCCGTGAGCGCCACTGACACCAGCAGCCCCACCCTACGGAGCGCGGCGTTGGGAGTTAACCAATGAGGTTCACTTAAATGTTAATCTTTTGACAGACTTTGGACAAGACTTCCCGCCACGCTCCTTATTTTGACTACAACTTTTTCAGCGTCTAACTTAACCCCGTCTTACCGTTGTTGGTCTAAACTGGTGTTTGTCTTTCAGAGTCAGTCTCACTATGAAGCCCGGGGTGGCCTCGAACTCAGAGAGCCATCTGATTTTGCTTCCTAAATGCTGAGATTAAAGATGTGTGCCAGACTGGGTGTAGTGTTGTACGCCTTTAATCCAGGCAGATCTTTGTGAGTTCGAGGCCAGCCAGTCTATGTCGTGGATTCTAGGACAGTGAGAATGAGATCCTTTCTGGAAAATTGAACAAAATAAAACAAACAAACAAAAAGAGGGTGTGTCTCAACATCCACTTCTATTATTTCCTTTTCCAAGAAAATAACATTTCCTTTTCCATGTATATTTTAACTTTTAAATTTCTTTTTTGGGGGGGTATGTGTGTGGGGGTCAGGACTACTAAGGGAGTTGGAGCTTTGGAGCTTTCCTTCTACCTTGTGGACTTAACTCAGGTCCCTTGGTTTGGCAGCAAGACACCTAACCTGTTGAGCGATCTGGAAAACTTTTCTTCTTCTTCTTCTTCTTCTTCTTCTTCTTCTTCTTCTTCTTCTTCTTCTTCTTCTTCTTCTTCTTCTTCTTCTCCTTCTCCTTCTCCTTCTCCTCCTCCTCCTCCTCCTCCTCCTCCTCCTCCTCCTCCTCCTC